GTTTGCGGGCACTTTCGTGTTGTGGGAGATAAATGGGGTAAAGGGGACTAAGATGAGCTCACCCTTCTTATAACCAGTGTTGCTCACGACCTTCTTCGACATCTTGGTAGATACAACGGTGACATCGGCGCGGTAGCGCACGAAGGCGTGCTTCAGCGCGCATCGCACATGGGGGGGCAAGCACTACATGGGGGATCCTCCTCATCCTCCTCCGTCACCCCTCCTTCCCTCGTGGGGTTTACCTGACTGGGGTGCACGGAACCTTCGGGCAGGGCCCTCCGTTGGGCCCAGAATGAGTCCAGCCCGTTGGACCCCAAGACTGCGTTGACCAGGTCTCCGCCGAGTGCCCAGCCCAGCCAGTCCTCCTCCTCATCATCATCATCCTCCCTCTTATCATCCTCCTCCTCGCCGTCCTCATCCGCATCCGTATCATCAGTGGCAAAGCACGGCAAGGCACGTGCACCTGGGCCTTGAACTCCTCGATCACGCATTGGTCGTTATCCAATGCCTGCTTGAACACGTTGGACACATTGGTGATGATCTCGGCGGGGACGGGGACCAGCTGAGAGCGCTCTTAATTCTTCGTAGTCGTCGTTCTCCTCGGGGAGAACGACGACGACGAAGACGACGATCGTCGTCCTCGTCGTCGTCACCGTCTTCATCGTCGTCGTCGTCCTCCTCCTCCTCCTCCTCCTCCTCGTCGCCGTCGTCCTCGTCGTCGTCGTCGTCGCCCTCGTCGTCGTCGTCGTCCCCGATCGTCGTCGGCGTCGTCCTCGTCGTCGTCACCGTCGTCGTCGCCGTCGTCGTCGCCAACGCCGCCGTCGTCTTAAGGTCGGCTACTCGTTGAACAGCCGTTTTTTTTTTTAAAAGGCTTTTCAACGAGTAGCCGAGAGGCTTCATCCGCCCCCCTCGCGCAGATTGTCGTCATTGTCGCCGACGTTACCGCCATCGCCGCCCTCACGTGGCTATCAACTACACGTATACGTGCAGTTGATAGCAGCATGAGGGCGGAGAGATCAATCAACAAAAAAGCAGCCTCCCACTCGTCCACCACGCAGCCGAAAGACACGACCAGCTCCATCTTCTCCACAGGCGTGCTGGACGTCTTCTGCTTCCGCCGACGCATGTCCTCGTCCCACCACTCCTGGCTCACGAGCGTGGCCTTGCCGCTCTCGAGGTTCTGGATGACGCGCACCGTCTTGTGGTCAGTCTTATGCCACACCCTCTTACCAACAACGAGGCCATTGTTCTGCATCACGCGGTCGCTCAGCGTGCCGCCCTTGGAGAACTGGACGACGCCAGCGGACGCGGCCCTGCGCTCGTTGATGTCCTCCTCGGCCTCGGCCTCGAACGGAGTCGGCTTAACCTCCATGCATTGCGGCTGCGCCGCCCGCGCATCCACCATGAACTGCGCGTGGACCTCATTCAGTGTCTCGTAGTTCTTCGTGGATTTCGATTTTTTCTTGAGGCACGTCATGATTGATCTCACTTGCATGTCCCCGATCAGCCTGGCCGAAACTCCAGGGTCGATGCCAGGTACTTTTGATAGCCATGCCTCCGCGACCTCCGTGGCGGTGCAAATCTCCAGGGCGTCGGCTTTCAGCTTGCTGGCGGGCTGGCTGAGCGAGGAGAAGTCGGAGCTGCTGATGAGCTTGCTAACCCCGTTCTTGACGTACTGCGCTGGGCACACCATGCATGCTTTCACGCATGCGCCAATGAAGGTAGGTCCCTGTAGGAACGGCACCTGTGATAGCATCTTGAACGTGGTCCCATGCACGTCGCGCATCTTATCCCCGACGCACTTCGCATATGCAGCGACGTCTTGCAGCAACGGTGCATTGTCTCCACCGCTGTACACTTTCAGAAACTCGATCATGTCGCCAACTTGGCCGCGCAAATGTGGTTTTGTCTTCTCCATCGCCTGCTCGATATCTTTCCACTTGTAGCTTTGGCAACTCAGCAAATTCCTCTGGCCCATGCCGTGAACTTGCAAGAGTGCTTGGATCTTCGACTGGGTGGTGCTCGTCCCGTGGTCTGCGTTGCCGCCCTCCACGAACAGCGTCGGCAGCTCTGGGAACGCCTCCTCGACCTCGGCCCTGATCACAAACCACGTGTACCCCTCGGTGCAGGGCTTCCTGAGAGAGTCGCAGAGGGCAAACGCCTTCTCCTAGACGGAGGGGTGACCAGCAACAGCGTACGCGCGCCACGGTTTCAACCCAAGGGTCGAAACTATGGCTCGCGTGCGCTGTTGGCTGGTTACCGCCCCTCCGTCCTGGACTATCTTGCCCGTCTGGTCAGTGATGTGTTCGTTCTCGCTCGTACAGCCGAAGATGATGCACCGCAACAGCTGCAACGTGTGGCTGCCAGCAACGGTCAAATACTTGCAGTCTGCAGGGTTCACATCTGCAAGCCCTCCACTGCTCGATGTGGCAAGTGTTTTGTTGAACTCTACTTGCTTCTTGAACTTCGATGGGTCTTTGGAGACCTCGAAACATACAGATTCACGAGTCTTTTCAATATCAAACCCAATTGAAAGAATCATGTTGAGTAACTTGTGCACTGCGTCGCTGTCAACTCCGATACCGTGCCGATTTTGAAAATGACAATTCAAGCTTTTCGCTGGTATGACAAGCTCATACGCCAGGTCGTGCTGCAGAAGCATCTTCTTCAGGTTGCTCAGGGCTGACGTGATCTGGGTGTGCTTGTGATTTGACTGGCCGCCTAAAAACTGTCCGATCATCTGTGTAATAGTGTCACCGCAAGCTTGCAGTGCTTTCTCCATGCGTGAAGTTCTCGCTGGACAACCAAAAAAAAGGAAACTCATACGGCTACAGAACGGCTACGTGATGATGAGTGGCATCCCTCTCCCCCCCATCACCGTGAAAATAATCGATATACACCTAGTCACCCCCTGACTCACACAGTCCAGAAAACATCCGTTCGCGAATCAAATATTGGCTCAGCTGCATCGAAATTCGGAATGGTCCCCTCCGAAATGTGCGACCCCCTAACTAGGATAGCTGGGTTAGCTAACTCCACGTCTAACCTACAAACCCTAACTTACGTTACCCCCCTTACAAGCTAAAAAGTAAGTGAGAACGCTAACCGCGCGAATCGACTTCCCAAGATAAGCTATCCACCCTCTCTGAATTACGCTTAACCAAGATCGCTCGGGTTAACCGTGATGTCCGTCCGACGCTAAACACGCTAAAAGATAAGGGGCGGGTGGAAATAGGATCGCGTGATTACAAGTAACATTGCTAGGTTGTAAACGCTTTGCAAGCCGAGTGCAAGCTACCTGCAAGCTGTTGCAAACACCCCGAAGACTTACTAAGGGCCGCGGCCCTCGCAGTGGGAACCGGGAATTGGGAACCGGGAGCCGGGAACCGGGAACCGGGAACCGGGAACCGGGAACCGGGAACTTGGCGACTAAAACACCTTACTTCGGCGGAGCCTGGCCATCTGCGAGCAGTTGCAGTGCCGTTGTGAATACATGCTCCGCGTGCGGATCATGTATAACAAATGCAGGGATTTAGTATTAAAAACAACGATGAGAGTTTATGCATAAACTTATTCACAAATTCATGATGTATTAAAGATCCTATAGTTTTAAAACGTCCTGTGTGTTAGAAACTGCCCTGCACTCTGCGAGTCGTGGAGCGCGCCTGCAGACGGGGGCCTCGGAGGGAGGAGGGCCCTGCCGCGGGAGCGGGCGCGGGCCCGTCGGGCCCCGGGGCAGGACCCCGTGCGAGGCGGGGGCCCCCCGCCGCCCCCTCGGCACGCCCCCGGCAGCCCCCGCCGTCCCCCCCCCCCCCCCCCCCTGTGGGTAGGGGCTTGGCATCGCTCGGACGTGTGCATTTTCCTTCGGCGAGGACCATCGAGGAGCATCCTTGACCAGTTCGCGAACAAGCCACGCACGAAACCGACAAAAAAAACAGGAAATGGACGTCCGAGCGATGGCCACGGGGCGTGTGCTGGCCGTCCGTCGAAATCTGTCTGGGACGGAAGGTTTCCAGGAGTCGGGTGTTGCTAAACGTGCCCCTGGCCCGAGGTGCCCCCAGGGTTTCCAGGGAGGCCCCCGCGGCCTCCAGAGCACCCCCCGCGAGGCCCGGAGGGCCCCAGGGGCTCCAAAACCGAGCGAAAAGCTGGGGGCACTTTGGGCCAGGGGCACTTCTAGCAACACCCGAAGGAGGGAGAGAAACTTTTTGTTTGATCCGCGGGTCGAGAGCGCACCTCTTCCGGTCGAAGCTGAGCGGGCCGCGCACGGCTTGAATTCACGAGAGGGGGGCAGAAGGAGGGGGAGAGGAGGGAAAGAAGCACACAGACACAATTCCATCGGCGACCCCCGGCTTGACGGGGTGGGGACGAGGAGCCGACATCCCGGTCGCTTTTTGAATGTCTGAAGCCAAGGGGTGGGACAATTTGTTTGTTAACCTTTTCCCGCATTTCATCACCCGACGCAGGAAGACAGGAGGTGGGACAATTTGTTTGTTAAACTTGTCCCGCATTTCATCACCCGACGCAGGGCGCCTGAGGACAGTAGTGCCCTTTCAAGTTTTTTCTCCCCCTCATCGCCGACAGGACCAGGATTAGGAAGGCGGGGGAGGGACGGGGGGCATCCTCATAGAATTCAGTCAAAATCTCCACGAACCTTGCGCAGTACGTGCAGCACAGGGGGGCGGCGGACCGTCTCCCCATCCCACCATCATAGGGGGATGCGAAGTCCTTGGAGACGGGACGGGGTGGGCACGGGCTGGCACCATAGCTCGCCCACCATTGACAAATAACCAGCACAGCTCCTACAGCACCTGCAAGACTGATCCGTTCACGGGTCCAGCTCCGCTGCATTCCAGGTGGCACCGAAGCTCCTGCGAAGCAGCATGCCCCCCCCCCCCACCCGGTTGCCGCCCGATGCCGAAACGCCGACCGAGTATCAAAAAAAAGCCCACCTCTGCCTCGCCCTGTCCCTGTCCGGGCCCCTTCCCGCGGCAGCCGCCGAGGAGCGCGCGCTGGGCGGCCCCAGCGGCAGCCTCTCGGCCCGCGCTCCGGCGCGGCCCCACCACCAGCCGCCCCTGCCCAGCGAGCCGCCCGCGCCAGGCCGCCCGCCCCAGATGGGCGGCCCGTGCTGGCTGGAGGGAGAGGTGGGGCCCAGGAGCACGTCCACCAGACGATTGTGTGTGTGTGTGTGTGTGTGTTTCCGCCAGTACCTCCACCACTCGGGGGCAGAGGACCGCCCCAACGCAGTGCCTCCATGTGTTTCAACACAGGTCGTCCTGAAAGCTGACGGGGCAATTTGCGTAAACTACACGTTGTCTTGTGGCGTTTCTGCGAAGCCCCATGGAACAGGGCCCAGATACCTTTGTGTATATACGCGCGATTCCAAACAGGCGACACCACCACCACTTACTTAGGTGTAAGGTCTCAGGGCCCTTGAGATGTCGAAGGGTAAGCTTCTTTCTCACGGTTTCGTTACAAGTTCGTTCTACGTTTGTCTTCATCAACGATGGGACGTTCTAGTTTCGTTCCGGTTATGTTGTGGTGTTGTCCCAGTTTCGTTCCAGTCAAGGCCTCCTAGACGGGGCTGGAGTGGATGGGGTCGGTGGATCGCGCCGCATCGCAAATGCATCGAGGATGCAAGCCGAAATGGAACCCGATTTTCTCCACGTCGACGTGGCCGATGCATTGCCGACGCCGCCAGTGCATCGCCGATGAATTGGCGGTGCATTGGCGGTGCATTGGCGATGCATTGGCGATGCATCGCATCGGCCTCTATACTCGGAGACAGGAGTGACGACAATACCACCACCAGTGGGGCCACAACCAGCGAGGGGGTCCACGATGCCTCCCCGAGCTGGGGATAGGGGATGCCTCGAGCGAGAGGTGGGGGCACACATGCAGGAAGACACTCTGCGTCGCTTCGCGCTGGTGGTGGTAGTGGTGGTGATGGTGGTGGTGGTGTCGCCTGGACTTTTTCCCACGATGTGGGTCGGCCGAGCAGGGGATCAGCGGAGGAAGAGATGGCGATATTGGTGTACCCTGGCGTTTTTCGTTTCCGTCTTTCTGGGGCTCCTGTGGCGCCCTCGTCACCACGGCTGGATCCGCCTCATGGAGTTCTGGTCAGAACGCACCTCAGGAGAGGTCACAGGGGCCCCCCCCACCCCAGAGGCTGAGCACGACCAACGACCTTGCGTGCTGTTTTTCCAGCCATGCCCTGTGTTGGGATCTCGTTTTGGTGAGTGCCCTGCCGCTGGTCCTCTCCGTCTCCTTCCTCCTGCCGCCTACTCCCCCCGGCCCTCCTCCTGCCTCCCTGGGCGCAATATACGCGCGCAGCGGTCGCCGGATTTTGTGACTTCGTGGGCGCTCCCGCGGGGTGCGGTGCTACCCACGGCGAGACGGGGCCTCGCATCCTTTGGTGCTGCCAACTGCGCACGTGTCACCACTGCCGTGACCTCGTGAGGGATCCAGCGGAGAGCGGTCCCGCTCAGGTCGACTCGGGGCTGGGCCTCCCCAGCGATGCCCACGGCGCAGCTGTCGCCCATGGCTGTCCGGGTGCTGCCAACTGCGGGACTGCCGGCCCGCCTGGGCTGGGCCCCCCGCGGGCCCCTGGAAGCCGCGCACCACGGGCCACTCTTGTCAGGAGGGGAAGAGACACACAGACACAATGAATCGTCGATTCCCCCGAAAATATGGGAAAATATGGGAAGTGGGGGGGGAAGACAGAAGCCCAGAAAATATGGGAAAATAAGGGGAATCCTGTTACTTGTGTGTATTTGTTTGTGTGTCCCAGGGCCCCTTTATCTTGCCCGGGGTCGCTCCTGCCTGTGGCCGGCCACCGCCGGCGCTGCCCGACGGGGCGCGCTGCGCCGCCTCGCCGAGGCCCGCCCCGCCCCCCGCCAGGGCGCGGCGGGCGCCCCCTCGCGCGCGAGTCGCCCTCGCTGCAGGCGCGGCGGGGCGCGCGCGCACCCGCGGGGGGGGGGGCGGCCTGGCCAGTGGCTCTGGAGGGGCGGAGTGGGTAATCTGCTTTCGCAAATAGACGGAACCAGTTTTTCCCTGATGGAACCAAAAACGCCCCAACGACATCAAAGGGCATGCCCGTGGTTGTCGTTTTGAGACATCGGGGACCTGGACCACCTTGTGCCCCTGTTTTCCTCTTCTTCGCCCTCCAGTCCTCGTCCTCCCGTCCTCCTCTCGTCGTCCTGGCTCGCCTATAGCCCTACCCAACAATGCTCTAAGAGCCTTTTTTTGTGTGGTTTCCACGAGATGTTCTTAGAACATTTCTGGCTGGGACTGTCTTGTTCTAACACATCGGGTTCACGTTCTAAAGACATTGCTTTTGTTTTTCGAACATTTTTGGGTTCTACGAGCATTTCGTGTTAGGACTACAGGAATGCCGGGACGGTCGGTCCCTGCTCAAACGGAAAGAGCGGGCACGAAGACTCCCAGCGAGGCCTGTCCGCCGTGAGCGGGAGTCGCTGCCAGCGTCGCTGCGGGCGGTGCCCGTTCGAGACGGAGGGCCGCCTGCCCATCGGCGGCCGCTGTTGGCTCTTGGGCAGCAGTTGTTGGGGGCTTCGTGCCCCTTTTTTGTTCCCTACCCATTCCGGGCGTTCCCCATGGCCACTTATCAGGAGAGGAAAAATCACACAAACACAAGTAATCTTCGATACCCCAGAGAAAATATGGGAAAATATGGGAAGTGGGGGAAAGACAAAAACAAAGAACATATGGGAAAATATGGGGAATCTTTTTATTTGTGTGTATTTACTTGTGTCTCCTGGGGCTCCTTCAATTTAGCACGGGTCGAGGCAACACCACCATGGCTTGAGGCGGTCGGGTTGGCGACGGGCCCCGCTGCCACGCAGAGTGGAAGCGGGCTCCGCCGCTCGCGCGGGCGGCACTCGCCCCATGGCTCCGGGGTGCCCTGCCCGACCCCCGTGGAGCTGGCGCCGGAGCGCCAGGCGCACGGGTCCCGAATCTCACCACCCACCAAACCACCCCAACCCAACCCGAAGCCCTCAATTTGCCCTCCATTTCCAGTGGGGGGGGGGGGGTCGGGGAACGTTGAAAAAGCACATGGGACCCGTACCCCCCCCAACCCGAAGTTGGGGTCAAATTTGGGTCTTCGGGTTGGTTGGGGTGGTCTGGTAGGTAGTCATAATCCATGTTAGAGCGTGCCCCCCGATTGAGGGGGATGGGTCATGGGGGCCGAGGGGGGGGGGGAAGCAGGTGGTCGTGGGCATCCAGAAGCAGATCCGCACGTCCGCGGCCTCGGGGGCTCGGCCCCCAGGGCCGCGAAGCCGCGGCTGCGGGGCACTTTCTCGCGGATGCCCCGCGCGGGGCGTATGCGTGCGACCGCGCATCCGCGGGGTCGCGCCCCAGAGTCCAGACCGCGAGGGTGCGGCTACGGGTACAGTGGGGGCCCATGCCAAGAAACACCCTGCTTACCTCCAGGGTGCCCTGGGTTTCTTGGGTTTCGATGGTTTGCCATGGAGAACGTGACGTTCCCATACCAAAAATCGATGGACGTCCTGGGGTCTCATGGTTGGGTTTCTTGTGGAAGGTTTCTTGTGGTCGGGCCCCAACCGTAGGTTCGCCGCTCGTGAGGAGGTCCCGGAGCTCGCGTCGCCGCCTTCGGGCTCCCTAGGGTGCCACCCCTGGGGCCCCCGGGCCGTGCCATGACAGTTCGGGCCGAAGAGTCGGCCCCGGGAAGGGCTCCCGGGATCCACAATCCCGTTCCCTTGGCATCGCTCCGACGTATGCACTTGCCCTGGCGAGGACCACCGAGAAATACAGTCGGGGCCTTGAAGAAGGAACCCTTTTCGTTGGGGAGGGGCTCCGCGTTCCTTAAGTGTTTCACAGCTTGCCTCAGGTTTTCCCTAGGTTTTCGATGGGGAATCGAAGATTAACTTACGGGAAAAAGGGGCCTCGTTCCTTATTTTGGGTTCCTTAGGTCAAGGCCCCGACTGTATCTTGGATGATCGTTCGAAGAATACATGCACGAAGCCGAAGCTGCACGGGAACTGGACGGCCGAGCGATGGCGAGTTCCGACATAATCCACTTCCTTTTGTGCCGAGGTTTTTCGCATGAGCGGGAGGATAGCCGCGCTGCTCGCGTCGCTGTCTGCGGCGACGGGTTGTCCTTGGCCACTTGGTGGCGCGAGAGTTCCAAGATAACGGCGCTTCGCGTTCCGGCTTGCATAATATTGTATGGATTTCTGGTGCAGGCCACAGTATTTGGACTAATGCACATTCTGGCGTTAGGTTGGAGTGTGCGTTGTAACGTTGGAGGTCTGGAAGGCCATCAATTTCCAACCTGTTGCAATGGTAGTCGCTGGCACTGCGACATGTGTGAAATTGATGGTCCGACGTTCCAGTGTAGAACGTCGGGAAATCATGAAGAATGGAGGCCTACGCGCCAGGGGGGCCGGCGTGCAAGATCCTGTGGAACCTGGGCGTCCTCCAGATAGTGCAACCGAGCAGACGGGACAAGAGGATGATGATGATGATGCTGATGATGATGATGATGATGATGATGATGAGGAGGAGGAGGAGGAGGAGGAGGAGGAGGAGGAGGAGGAGGAGGAGGAGGATGAGGATGAGGAGGTGGAGGAGGAGGAGGAGGATGGGGAGGAATAATAAGGATGGGTGTGGATGGTGGAGAGAAGAAGCTCAGGAGGGTGGAGAAGGTGGGCTGATGAGGAAGGGGATGGGCACGGTCATCGTCGGGCGGAGGTGGGAGGAGGAGGATATGGAAGACGAAGACGGAGGAGAAGGAGGAGAAGGAAGACGAGGAGTAACAGGAGGAAGAAGATGACGAGGTGGGCGGGTAGGAGGAGGAGGTGGAGGAAGAGGAGGAGGAGGAGGAGGAGGAGGGCGTGCGGCGAGGGTGGTCGGTGAGAGGGACAGGACGAACATGAGATGGATGGCGGAGGCGAAGGATCAGCTGGGAGGGGGGGAGGAACGGGTACACATCAGATGAAGCCCTGAACAGCGACGCTGTGATCTTTCCGTCTCGTAGGTCTGGGAGCAGCCATCCGCCGGCGGCCAATGTCCCACGGGCAACGACAGGCAGCGAACACCGAGCCGTTGCGTTTGCAATGAGCGGCGTTTGATCTTTCGTTCGGGCCGTCGTTCGGCACATTCCGACGTACCCTCCTCGTTCGGCCCGAAGTTGTCGGCCCTCTTGGCGGTTAACAAACATGAGGAAACGTGGTGGGGAGGGGAGGAGGCGGAGGAGGGTGAAAAGGACGACGACGACGATGTGCGGGTGGAGGGAGGATGGAGGGTGAGGAAGACGATGAGAAGGAAGGTGATGAGCTGGGTGATGATTAGACTCCGGAGGGGAGGGATGACAAGGCGGGTGGGGGATGGGAGGAAGGGAGGGGGAGGTGGAGGAGGGGAAGAGGAGGAGATCGGAGGCTTATGCTGTACGCGCGAATGACCTTTTGTGCCTCGGACTCCCGATCCTTCTGGACAGGAGCGAAGAAGGCTCGAGCTGGGCGAGCGAACAAACGCAACGTGAGCGAAATCAGCGAACCTGGTGACTGAGGAGGAGGAGGAGGAGGAGGAGGAGGAGGCGGAGGAGGAGGAGGATCATCGCAACTAGAAGGATGGCGGCGACCTCGGCGGTGCCGCCACTGACGACGACTGCCGCGAGCAAGACGACGACGACGACGTCGACGACAGTGACTACGACGACGACGACGACGACGACGACGACGACGACGACGACGACGACGACGACCACGACGACCACGACGACGGCCGCGGCGGTCGGGGCGACGGGTCGCCGCGCCGCCAAGCGACGCCGGCAATTAGAGGGCGCGGCGGTGGAGGCGCGGGGCGGGGAGGCGGCAGGCGCGCCCAGCAGCGGGCCCCCCGGGGGGAGGCGCCAGGGCGGGGAGGCTCGGAGGAGGCGTAACTCAGGAGGGGGAACAACACACAGACACAATGAATCGTCGATTCTCATGGAAAGATGGGAAAAAATGGGAAGTGGGGGCGAAGACAAAAACCAAGAGAGTGTGAGAACATATATGGGGAAGCATTTTGTTTGTGTGTATTTCTTTGTGTGTCCCACGGTTCCTTCAGTAATGGGGGGGGTAGCCAGACCCTGTGGGTAAAAAAAACAAGACCCTTTGGGGATAGCCAGACCCTTTGTGGATAGCCAGACCCTTGCTCGGAGGAGGCGTAATGGGGGGGGATAGCCAGACCCTTTGGGTAAAAAAACAGCCAGGACGGGAGGTTTTTTGCCGTACTCCTCTGCCTCTGGGGGCACTTGCCGGCCCACGGGGCCGTCAAGAGACGAGTCAGGATGAAAAAGCGGTCCAGGGTCATGGGTCGGGACCTCCAGAGTCAACGTCATGGAAAAATCCTTACGTCGGGGGTCTCGGTAGCTGGGGGGGGCATCGGGCGATGCCGGAGCAGGGGCCCAAGGAGGGTCCCTGCTGAAGGGGACCTGTAGGGCCCGAGGATGGCACCTCCTTCCCAATCGCCTCGCGCCCGCGGAGGCGCCCGGGCGGCAGCCGTCAGCGAGGCCAGTCGGTCGTGAGCCGTGCAGGCGCGGGGCGAGCCTTCTAATTCCCCGTGGCGGCCCCGCGGCGGCGCCGCCTCCGCGCCGCAGGACCGCCGGAAGGGCGCGCTGTCCCTGCGCCTGCCCTCGCTGGCGGACTTCGTGGCCCACCCGGGCCAGCCCGCCAGCGGCAGGACGCGCCGTCGTCGTCGTCGACGTCGTCGTCGTCGTCGTCGTCGTCGTCGTCATCGTCGTCGTCGTCGTCGGCGGCGGCGGCGTCGTCGTCGTCGTCGTGCGGTCCGGCTGGGGGCCCTCGGGGAGCTGCTGAGGAGGCGGCGGCGGCGATGGCGGCGATGGCTACGGGCGGCGATGGCCTACCACCCATGGCGGTGACCGTGGCGGCGATGGCGACGGTGGCGGTCTTCGCTGCGTCGCGAACCAAAAAACAAAATCCGTCGACGCATGTGGTTGCTTCGCCATGCCGGCCTCGGACAGCCAGCGCTGGAGGCACGTCCAATCGAGGACGGGGAAAGTGGGGCTCCCGCGGCTCTTCGAGCGCTTCCGGGCGCCAGGGCCCCTCAGTCCCATCCGCCGCGTCCCGCCGAGCTCTTCCTGTGGTCGCCGAGGTCGCCCCAGGCAGGCCGCCCGCTGCCGCGGGAGGAGTTTGAGGGCGGGCGGCTTTCCGCACAGTCCTGGCCTCTTGTGTGGCGCTGCGGGCCTCCTGCGGCCCTCGATCCTTGGTGGAGATGGGAGCCTTGGGACGGGGGTCAATGCAACCGGGGGTCAGCCAGAGCGCCAGAGCATGAAGGATCCTGGCGCCGGCGCCGCCCCTGGCGCGCTCCGCGCGCCAGGGAGGGGGGCCCAGCGCAGGTCCAAGAAGTCCCCGCGGAGCGTCGAAAGTTCATGTTGATGCCGCTTTTTCTTTTTCGATTGTCAGAAAGCTTGGAAGCTGCAGGCTTCCCAGATGGGGTTGGAGCAGATGGGGTCGGAGGATCGCGCCGCATTGCCGACGCATCGCTGACGGACCATCGACGTCGGCGATGCAGCGGCGACGTCGACGTGCAGGGTATCGGGGTCCAGCGCAGATCCAAGAAATCCTCGCCGGAGGGTCGGAAGATGATGTTTGCGCCGCGTTTTCTTCCTCTGCCCCTCCTCTGCACCCCTCGGTTCGCTGCGCCGCCGACGGTCCGCGCGGGCTCGGATGCGGACAATGCTCGCCGCTCGTGACGACGACGACGCCGCCGCCGCCGCCGCCGCCGCCGCCGACGACGACGACGACGACGACGGACGACGACGACGACGACGACGACGACGACGACGACGACGACGACGACGACGACGACGACGACGACGACGACGACGACGACGACGACGACGACGGGGGGCCCTTCGGTCTCTCCGAGCCCGTCTGCGCTGCCCGCGCGCCGAGCCCCTCGGGCGGGGCCTCACCGGCCAGGCTCCGGGGGGCGGCTCGTGCGCCCTTCGGGGAGCGTGCCGCGCACTGGCCTGCCGTGGTGGTGGTCGCCGTCCTCCTCTCATCCCCTCCTCCTCCCTCTCTCCTCCTCCTCCTCCTCCTCCTCCTCCATCTCTCCTCCTCCTCCTCCTCCTCCTCCTCCTCCTCCTCCTCCTCCTTCTCCTCCTCCCCCCTGGTCCTCTTTCTCCCCCCTCCCGGCTTCTCCTTCCCTGTCCTCCGATCCTTCTCCTCCTCCTCCTCCTGCTCCGCCTCCTCCTCCTCCTCCTCCTCCTCCTCCTCCTCCTCCCTACACCCTCTTCTCTTCACTCTAGTTCCCCTCCCTATCCAGTACTCCGCATGCTCCCTCCGACTGCAGTCACGATTCGTGTGTGTGCATATGAGAGCGTTATGGATGCTTCACCTCAGTTTCGCGTTAGCCGCGTTCAAGCCTGTCGCTGGGCCTCGCAAAGAGCAGAATTGGAGTCTGTTTGGCACAAGACTCCACCCCAAGAAAGCTGGGGTCACAGCTGGCCAGTCAACTTTTGGTTCAGTCTAGGCGGGGCCATTGGACGTTGATGGCACGCCCTCCCGTTTCCTTCTCCTCCTCCTCCTCCTTCTCCCACCTCCTCCTCCTCCTCCTCCTCCTCCTCCTCCTCCTCCTCTCTCTCTCTCTCTGGTTCTCCCTCTGCCCCTCCTCCCCCCCCCTCTCCCCTCCTCGCCCTCCCTCTCTCCTCCCTCCTCTCCTCTCCTTCCTCCCCCCCTCCCTGCCTGCTTCCTCCTCTCCTCCCCCGTCCTCCCCCCCCCCCCCCCCCTGCGTCGTCTGCTTCCTCCTCCTCAACCCCCCATGGCCGAGGGCGGAGCGTCGCGAGATGGCCCTGGAGCGCGAGGTGACCAACCAGCTCCTGCAGCTCCCCAAGGAGCGAGGGGCGAGGAGGAGGAGGAGGAGGAGGAGGAGAAGGAGGAGGAGGAGGAGGAGTTGGAGGAGGAGGAGGAGGACGAGGAGGAAGACGAGGAAGACGAGGAAGACAAGGAGGAGTTGGAGTTGGAGGAGGAGGAGGAGGAGGAGGAGGAGGAGCAGGAGTGTGGTGATGGTGATGCTGGTGGTACTGGCGAGAATGATGAGCACGGTGGTGATGGTGAGGACGGCAGCGTTGATGATCAGGCTTCGGACGTGGAGGAGGCGGGTGGGGAGGACGAGGACGAGGAGGAGGAGGAGGAGGAGGAGGAGGAGGACGAGGAGGAGGAGGAGGAGGAGGAGGAGGACAAGCTCCTGCGCTCTGCCAGAGCGGTGGCGATGAGGGGGTGGGAGAAGGAGGGGGAGGCGCAGTCAGAGGAGGGGGAGTGTGATGACGCACCCGAGGTGGCAGGGGAGAGGGACAAAAGGAATACGTGGAGAGGCTTTTTACGCAGGAGGGAAAGCAACACGCAGACACAATGAACCGTCGATTCCTCCCGAAATGTTGGAAACACATGGGAAGTGGGGGGGAAGACGAAAACCCCAAACATATGGGAACCCATGAGGCATAATTGTATGTGTGTGTGTTTTTCATTGTGTGTGTGTGTCTTTGGGCCCCTTCAATTACATCCCAGCGACGAGAAGAGGAGGTGACGGAACAGAAAGGGGAGGAAGAGCCTCCCGGGCAATCTCAGAGGCCATCGCCGCCGAACACAGGGCTCGGTCCGACGTGCCGTCGCCCCTGTGGAGCTTACGCATCGCCTCCTGGGACCCTTGTCTGGGGCGCTCTTGGGTGCATTTGGGCCCTCATGGCACAGGCCAAGGTTTCGCGTGTTGGCTCGCCTATTGCAGGTTGGCCCTCGCGTGATTCCTGTTTTGCCTCGTGCATGCGGATGGGCACCACCATTGGCATGTTGGCTTAATGGGGGGAAAGGAAAAAAAGCATTTGGGCCCTCATGGGGCCTTTTCTAAGCTTCGTTCGGAGCCATCTAGGGCAAGCTCGGGAGCATCTTGTGGCCTCTTTGAGCAATGATGCTACCTCGGGCCCACGTTGGACACATTGCGCGATGCCAAAGGCCATCTCGACCTGTCACTCTGACTGGGGGCTATTCTTGAGCCGTGTAGGGCCATACTAAACGACATGTTAATTCCTCGCGCGCCCCCCGTCCACATGGTGGAAGTCCCGATCCCCTGAATCACCGACACCCACCGGTTGGTGAGTTTGCAGCCTTTGTTTCTGAGTTGAGTACGTACCTCAAAAGTCAGTGCAAGAAGTGCTATGCATTTCAGTTGCGAAGCCATGTGCTGCCGATGCTGACTGGATACGTGAACCTGTTCCGCGCACCTTGGTGGCCCCGCGAGGAGCCCAGCTGATGACGCAATATTTCAGGCTCAGATAACGCATCCAGTCTTGCATATACTCCGACACGTGTACCAGGTACTATCCCCGTGTGCTCAAGAGAGAGTTGCGCGCTCTGAGCAAGTTACGTGCCGATGTTCGGCAGATTGTTTTGATTCGTTCCTGGTTGCTTGCTTTGTTGACCCCATCATAGGTCGATGCAGACCCGTGCAGCACGTCTTTTCTCTCCGCTCAGCAAGTATCGCACAAACATCTTCAGTATCTTTGACATGAGTGGAGGACACTCCCAAGCCATTTAACGGTTACTTCTGTGTGTCTCTATGCTTTAGGTGCAAGTCTCATTGACCTTCGTGTGCCCATATGATTGACCGTGATCGGTCTTGCATGTTTTGCTGAGGCGCGTGTCCCAACTTGGAGGTGCCCTTGATAGGCAACACAAGTGCAACACATTACTATGGAACAGCGGTCGGGGGCTTGGAGCTTGAGGCGGAGCTGGCGTGACCGTCGGACATGACGCTGGAATGACAGCCGAACTCGAAGGCGGAGCTGGGAACGGAACCAGCGTCGGAGTCCGTGCTGGAATGCTGGTCGAACCGAGGCTCGGAGCTCGAATCGAGGCCAATGTTGTCGGAGCCGGCGTGCCTGGTTGGACTTGTCGTGTCTGTCGGAACCAGCGTCGGAGCGGTCGCCCGAGTGGAAGCCGGAGCTCGTGTTGGAGTTGGCATTCGCTTCTGTAGACTTGAGATGCTGGTCATCCGCAGAGGTTGATGCAAGGGCCTGTACAGGTCAGTGGCCGCCGGTGGCAGCTGTCGATTGGACAGTTGTCGTCGTTGCCTCCGTTCGTCTGCGACTGCCGTCGCGGAGCGTAGGAGTCGTGCTGCTGCTGCTGCTGCCTCCCGTCGTGCTGCGCAGTGTCGTGCTCCTGGTGCCCGTCGCGCTGCTGAGCACCTCGATGCTTGGCGCAGGAGTCGCCCCGCGTGTGGGAGCCAAGACCCTGCGGCCACTGGCAGATTTGCGGCAACATGTAGTGCTGCTGGAGCGCGATGCCGGATTCAACGTCGAGTTGTTGGCCTTGGTTCGAACGTAAGAGTGACCCTTCGCCGGAGTGACCTTTGGTGCAGGCCCACTGGGGGCCCCCTGGTCGCCGAACGCGATGCGATAGTAGTTTCTTGCGCGCTTGTGTTTGGTCCCCCCGCGGCCCCCCAAAGCCGCGCACCAGAGGTCACCCTTACCCATGGGGCACTCGTGCGTGTAGCCGACTGGTCGTCTTGGAATCGGAGTGCGGGTGCGTCACGGAGCCGGTGCAGCACGGAATCGGTGCGCTGCTGCGTCACGGGGGCGGTGCGCTACGGGCTCTGCCCTCCTGTGCGCTGCAGGACCAGGGCCCCACCAGGGCGCGCCGCGCCGCCGAGGCGACACGGAGTGGGGGTGCCTCCCCCTGGTGGAGTGCATCGGAGGGGGAGATGCGACACCAACACCACCAGGGGGGCCACCTCCAGCGAGGAGGCCCACGAGGCCTCCCCGATCTGGGGATACGAGATGCCTCGAGCAAGAGGTGGGGACCACGCCACCCGGGAGGCCCCCCTGGCTCCTCGCAGCTCCTCGCCCTGGTGGTGTTGGTGTCGCCTTGCCCTCGCCCTCGCCGTGCTCCTAGCGAAGCAGGGCGTGGACGTCCGGGACGTCCACGCCCTTGGGGACGTCACGTCCCCAAGGGCGTGGACGTCCCCAAGGCCGCGCTGCTCGGCGCGTGCTCCGCTCCGATCTCAGCTCCGACTCCCGTGTCGGCGGCCCTCCCACCGACGGCTCCGCTGGGCACGCCGTCCCCGACGGGTCTGCCGGTGCCGTTGCCGGCCTCGGCCCCGGCTGCTGCAGCGCCTCGGCGGTCGCCTCTCGACGGCGGCAGCCCTGACCTGAGGGGAGGAGGGCAGGGAGGAGGGGGAGGAGGGGGAGGAGGGGGAGGAGGAGGAGGGGGAGGAGGAGGAGGAGGAGGAGGGGGAGGAGGGGGAGGAGGAAAGTGGAGGAGAAGGAGGAGGAGGAGGAGGAGGGGGAGGAGGAGGAGGGAATGTTTTTGTCTTCCTCCTCCTCGCACTTCCCATGCTGCTGTTTGGGACGAGCGCCGCGTGTTCTGTCACTGCAGCAGCTAGCGGAGAGCTTCGGGCCGAAGCAGACGGCCAAACGCGCAACACGCCCAACACGTGGGCAGGTCCAATGGCACCCACGATGCCATGCAATGACGACATGCGCCACTCCTTCCACATATACCACGGCGACTACATGTTCGACCACACCTCTGAATGCGGGTGAGGCCAGGGGCCAAGCGCGGATCTCCAGAGGTAGGCGGCGCTCATCGCTATCCTTTTCGCCTTCTCATCTCTTCCCGCTCGTCCTTTTTCGACTCCTCTCTGTCTCTCTAGTTTCTCTTCTCGGTGTGTATTGGTTTAGTTAGTTGGTTTTGTCTTCTTTTGTGTTTCTCTCTCTCTCTCTTTCTTTCTTCTCTCTCCCTTCACATCTATTTATGTGTATACACAAACACAGTGTAATATCTCTTTCTCTCTAGTTATCGTCTCCCTTATGGTATACTGTCTCTTTATGTGCTTCTCCTCTCGTGTTATGGATATCTCTCTATTTATATGTATGGTTTCATACTCAGTTGCCTGTCTCTCGCTCTCTCTTTTTCTCTTCCTCTTTCTCTCTCTCTCTTTCTTTTTGTTGCTCTCTCTCTCTCTCTCTCTGTATTGCTCTCTTGATCCTCTCTCTGTCGCTCACTCTCTTCTTTTTCCCAGTCTGTCTCCGCCGACAACGGTGCGCCCTCTCCGCCGCTTCCCGCCCACATTGGGTAGGACTCGGGGCAGCTGACGCACTCAGGCTGCTCAGTATAGGTTGTTTCGGCTTCCTTTTTTTTCTACTTCCAACTCTTCTTCCACCTTCCTCCCTGCCCTCCCCGTGCCTCCTCGCAGGTGCTGCTTAGGTGGCGCCGTTGAGCCCCCGATGGAAGATGGAGCCGCTGGCTGCGGCTGCGCTGGGCCAGCCCTCGGCAACCGCGCTGCCCACGCTGCCCCTCCCCCCCCCCTCCTGCTCGACCCCCGACCGCCCCACCCCCCCTCCCCTCCGAGGCCTCCTCGAGGCCCCTCCCCTCGATTGAGAGGGGCGTGCCGCCCGGCGCACTCTTCCCCCCCCTGCCCTCTCCCGCGAACCTTCTCGCGGGAGGGCAGGGCTGCTCCTTCCTGCGAGCAGCACGGGCTGGCTCGCGAAGGTGTGCCGCGGGAGGCCGGGCTCTCGCGAATTCGTCGTGGGAGGCCGGGGCCTCTCGCAGTTTTTTTTTGGCCGGAGGCCCGGACCCTCGCGAGCTTTTCGCGGGAGGTCTCGCGTCTGTGCTCACGGAGGGTAGTCTGCGGGTTCCGTTCGCGCAGGCCGTGTCTGCCCAGAGTCAGGGCGTCGAGGTACGGACCAGTGCGGGTTCGGACGGGGCTCTCGGTTTTTTCCTGAGGACTCTTGCACGGTCGCTCCTCTCCGCGTGCCTGGTGCCTCCAGTCCTTCTGTGGCTCCCCCAAAAAAATCACCGTTCTCATGCTGCGTTCCATCTGGTAGTAGCGGTACTGTACGAGAGCACGGGGCAAGCTTGTTGATGCTTGTCCTCCTCCTCCTCCTCCTCCTTTTTCCTCCCCCTGCTGCGGCCTCTCCCTACCCTCTGCAGGCACGTTTTGCTTGAGTTTACCCAGAGTAAGTTTGGGCACGCTCGCAGGACAGCCTTTTCTTCCAGTGCTGGTCGTATCTCTACAAGCTTCCCACTCTTTGTTGGGTGATCTCATGCTGATTCTGTTCTGCGCAAAGAAAACAAGGGGGATGGTAGAAATTTGCGTGTGTTCTTATCGTGCGCAGCCTTGCCCACAAGACGTCTTTGTGCTGGGATGGTCCAGGACTCGCAGGCATACGGTTTGCGGCGCGCGTTGGCATGCAGTTTCGTAGTTGTTTAGTCACGTCTACTCGCGTCCACGTGTACATTGTAACAACAAGCAGGTAAACGAGCAGCACGTGCACGTGGCTGACGAGGTAAACGCAGCACATTGCAACCTCATCATGCTGTGTTCTCATGCTCATGCGCTTGTGATTCCTGGTCTTAGTTTCGATCCTAGTCTCTTGTCAATCTTTCCCAGTTCCCCTGTATACATCTAGGTGATGTCCTGTCCAGTTGTGCCCACCCGAGTGCCCTTCTGGTTTTGTGGATCGTCATTGGCGCGCAGGATACCACCTTGGATTCGTTACGCAGCAAACCAGGCCCGCATCTTGACGCTCCATGGTGCGTCTGTCCTTGCACTCCACGTGTGCATTGTCAGCGGGACGAGTTGCGTGCATGCGTGCGTGTGTGTAGGTGTGCGTGTGTGTGTGTGTGTGCGTGTGTGTGCATGTGTGTTTTTGTGTGTGTGCGCGTGTTTTCGTGTTGGTGTGTGTGTAGTTGATGGGCCACCTCCAGCGGTGCGAGGATGTTCGCGCTCCGCGCCTCGCTGCTCGGGTTGGAGGGGCGCCCTCTCTTCGAAGGCGGCTGCGCCAGGGCGCGAAGGCAATTCTGCGCGTCGCGCACCGCGGGGCGCGATGCGCGAAGTTCTGTGAACTACATGTGCAACTGTGTTTGTGATATGCTGCGGATGTGTTTTTTTCTGCAATGCGTGAGGAGGGCCGTGCTCATATCGCAGACTGTAAATTTACGTGTGCATATAAGAATCGGCATAGTCATGCGTATCTGCGTGTACGGGCATGGCTTACTATACTTTGTAGACGTGGTGCAGCATGTACGTTGGGACATGCCACGGGGGAACCAGTGTTGTATTTCCTTACGCACATACTTATATACGTATTTACACAGACGGATCGTGGTACACGCATACATGTACACATATATGGATTTGTCTACATGCATGTGAACACGTCGATTCACCTGCACATCAGAATGTACATGCTCACTCACTTGTATGCCATATTCATGTTATACACGCACTAGAACCAGACTGATGGATAACGTAATACCGAGGCAGAGAACGAGAGGCATATACAGACATATGTGTACACATACACATACAGATACACACGCACGTGTACACACAACAATCTGGATACATGCATGGGAAGATAACACGGGACCGTGCGAGTCTGAGAAAGGCGAAGAGAGGGAGGAAGATAACGAGAGAGAGAGAGAGGGATAGCGAGAGAGAGAGAGAGAGAGAGCCTGAGAGAGAATGTACAAACCCAGCTGGGTGGAGAAACCGAGAGATGACACGTGCTGCTGTGAGTTGCCAGAGCAGGTTTCTGGATGTCCCTGCGCTAGCAGTGATTGGATACAGGCTGCGTGGGGCTGGCCACACAATGCCATTTCGATCCCTTCACACCCCGTCGTCCGACCCCCTCCAGGCTTCCACTGTACGGGCTGTCTGGGTGTTCGGGGCTATCCCATGTGTGTTGGGCTTGATTCGAAGTGGAGCGGGAGGACTGCGTTTGCCCGTTGGCGGCGCAGCGTGTGCGTCGATAGCTTGGGGTGTGTGCAGGTCGATAGCGCAGAGATCCAACCCAGAGGCACTAGGTCTACGCCGTTGCGTCAGCACTTTCGCCTGGGATTGGCTTGCTGCTGTTTTAGCACGCTTTCGATAGGGCCACTCTTCCCGAGAGGTAGGTGGGGGGGGGGGGGATTGCCGCAGCTTTCGGATCGCGCTTCGCTTCGGGTTGGATTCGCGACCTGACTATCTAGCGACCTCGATATCTATGTTTCGCCCCCCCCCCCCCGTACCTAATGGTCTCACTGTCCGTGTTTCGTTCCCACTGTCAAACCATGTATCGGTTTCTCTCTCTCTCTCTCTCTCTCTCTCTCTCTATATATATATATATACCTATGCGACCACCTTTCGGGTGATAAGGAGGTTCGGGGGGGGGGGACCAACGTCTCACCCGATCAATCTCACTATCGATCTCACTATCGATCTCACTATCGGTCTCGCTCGATCGATCTCACACGATCGATCTCACAATCGATCTGCCTCGATCTATTTCAATCGATTGATCTGACTATCGACCTCACAATCGGTCTCACTATCGATCTCATTATCGATCTCACAATCGATCTCACATTCGGTCTCACTAACGATCTCACTATCGATATCACAATCGATCTCACAATCAACGTCATTATCATTATCAACATCATCGTCATCAACGTCATCAACATCATCATCATCGGAAAACCATCCATCACCATCATCACCTCATCACCATCATCATCACCATCATCATCACCATCATCATCATCGGGACACCATCATCGCCACCACCATCATCATCAACATTATCATCGGGACACCATCATCATCATCATCGTCGGAACACCACCATCATCATAATCACCTCACCATCATCATCATGAACAACATCATCAACATCATCATCGGGACACCATCACCATCATCAACAACATCATCATCAACAGTATCATCGGGACACCATCTTCATCGTCACCATCATCATCATCACCATCATCATCGGGACACCATCATCAACATCAGCATCATCAACATCACCATCATCATCGGGCCACCATCATCAAAACCATCATCATCACCTCATCATTATCCGCATCATCAGCATCATCATCATCATCGGGGCACCATCATCGTCATCATCATCATCATTGGGACACCAGTATCATCGTCATCATCATCAACACCTTCAACAGCATCATCATCAGTATCATCATCATCGGGGCACCATCATCTTCATCATCGTCATCCTATCATCATCTCATCATCATCATCATAATCAACATCATGAACATCGTCATCATCATCGGGACACCATCATCATCAACATCAGCATCATCAACATCATCATCATCATCGGGACACCATCATCATCACCACCATGTCCATCGTCATCATCAGCATCGTCAACATCATCATCATCATCATCATCATCATCGGGGCACCATCATCATCACCACCATTACCATCATCATCATCATCATCATCAAAATCATCGACATCATCATCATCAACATCATCATCATCATCATCATCATCGCGGCACCGACGGGACACCGGCGGGACACCGCGGGCCACCGGACGCCGGTCTGGAATCATTCGGTCCGGCCGCGCCTCAGCCGGAGGCGGGACACCAGCGGGACACCGCGGGCCACCAGACGCCGGTCCGGAATCATTTGGTCCGGCCGCGCCTCAGCCGGAGGCAGGACACCAGCGGGACACCGCGGGCCACCGGACGCCGGTCCGAAATCATTTGGTCGAGCCGCGCCACAGCTACAGGAGACTTTTTTCTCGCCCGCCCACGCAACTTCGCCTCGCCCGCACGCACGGCACGCACGAACACGAAACCGAAATCGATTTCCCAGTAGGGGGGCTCTCCGTTCAACTTCGATCTCACCCCCTCACCTCCGGTATATGTGTATATACGTGTATATATATGTATATAGAGTCAAGTTAACGATCAATCGACGTAAACAGTTTTACGGATGCCACAATCTAGTGGGTTCACCGCTAATATACCAACCTGCCTATCAACGCATTGGTCCGTCCCATTATCTATCAGTCAAACAGCTTACATGTCGCAGTTTAGAAAATATAGGTATGTATCGGTTACGCTTTTCGACAATCTCATCACAATCGATGTGGCCATCGATTTCGGGCCAAGCGCAGGACAGAAACGGGACCACAGTGGGATATCCTCCTCATTATTTACCGACCCCTACGTGTGAACCACGGGACACCAGCAGTGCAACCATGGTTTCAATATCTGTAACTATATCGGCCGTGAAGCGCAGAGCCATCCACTTGGAAATCGGTTTTGGCTTCGTGTACTGCGGACGGGCGGGCCGAAGTTGCGTGGGCGGGCGAGAGGAATCATCCCTTCCTGACAATGGCGAAGCCAGTATGAATGTCTCTCTTCCCCCCGGTTGGCCGGCGGTGGCCCAGGGGTGTCCCGCCAGTGTCTCGTGGTGTCCAGTGGTGTCCAGTGGCCTGGTGTCCCGCATCGTCACCGTCATAATCGTCTCAGTTGCCACCAGTCGCCTCCCCATAAACTCCTGATCACCCGAAGGGTTGTCGTATACATATTTTGTTTATACGTATATGATACCAGAGAAAAGCCCCAATCATAGGTTTTTGGGTGCTATAGGGCTGTGGGGCTATTGGGCCATAGGGCTACGGGGCTGTAAGGCTGCAGGGCTATGGGTCTATACGGCTATAGGGGCCATGGGGCTATGGGCCTATATGGCTATAAGGCTATACAGCTGTAAGGCCATATGGCTTTAGGGTTGTAGGGCTATAGGGTTATGGGTCTATAGGGCTATGGGTTTATAGGGCTATGGGGCTACATGGCTATAGGACCATAGGGCTATAGGGCTATAGGGATATAGGCTTAAGGGGGCTACAGGGCTATAGGCATATAGGGCTATAGGGCTATGGGGCCATAGGGCTATAGGGCCATAGGGCCTTAGGGCTATGGTTCTACAGGGTCATGGGACTATAGGGCTATAGGACCACAGGGCTATGAGGCATTTGGGCTATAGGGTGATAGGGCTATAGGGCTATGGGTCTATAGGGCTATGTGGATACAGGGTTATAGGGCTCTAGGGCTCAAGGGAGGGCAATAGGGCGATAGGGCTATAGGGCTATAAGGCTATAAGGATATAAGGCTATATGGCTATAGCGCTGTAGGGCTATAGGGCTAGTGGGCTATAGGGCTATAGGGCCATTGGGCTATGGGGCCATAAGGCTAAAAGGCTATAGGACTATAGGGCTATAGTGCTATAGGGCTATAGCGCTGTAGGGCTGTAGGGCCATGGAGCGATAGGGCTATAGGGCTATATGGCACCCGGGCACCTGGGCACCCGGGCGGGCCGCGGAAATCGGTGGCACACCTCACCTACCCATATCAATCCGCTACGACCCCTACAGAGGTAAGCTCTGATTCGGGAACATTGGTCTCGCGAGACCAGTCTCACGACTTGTCGATATGAGAATCAATCGACCAATCGATCTCATTACCGCCGCATCGGTCTAATTATCTACTGGGTTCTACATCTCTCTATTGGCTTCACTTTTAAGTATCCGTTAACCCAGTTTTCAATGTATTAGTATCTTGCTGTGTATGTATAGATCTATGTATCGGTATCTCTCTCTGTGTGTGTATATATGTAGATCTCGGTCTGACGATGTATCGGTCGAGATCCGCAAGACAACCACGGAACAATCATAAGACGGCCACGGGACAACCATTGGACAGCCGCAGGAAAACCAAGGGACAGACGCGGGACATCCATTGGACAGTCACGGGACAACGATCTAACAATCGATCAGTCCCTTGTCAGTCAAACGATTTGACTATCATTCTTTTCAGGAAGGCAGTTGTCGTGTTGGAAGGACCCGGTTGGGAGACAGGATCATACCCTCGCTAGTATCGCATCGGTTAAAGGTGTGTGTTACACAAGCATACACACTGCTATTGGCCGTGGCTTCGTCCAAACCTCGTGGAGCTTGCTGGCCGCCGATTGGGTTCGCATTTCTGCGTTAAGTTGATTGGGTTCGTCGATTCCCTCTCGCTGGAAACGACATGCCCGCTCCTCGCATCCATGCGTCTCCCCTTCATCGTCAGCCGTTTCTCCTGAAGAGCCCTGCCCTGCGCATCGCCGGCTGGGTCAGTATAGTCTGGCATCACCTGTGGAGTCCGATCGGCAGCGATGGGGGACCGACGGTGCCAACGACGCACGAAGAAGTCGTGGCACAATCCATGAAGAACGGGAGCGTGACAATGCAGTCGCGATTCTGTATCACGAGCGGGACGCAACACGGAATTCACGAGTACTTCCGTAGCAGCAACGGAACGAACCACGGAACTTGCCGCGGCCCCGTGACCTTCCAAAATTTGTATGGCACGAGGAGACTTCACGAGTGAATTCCGCATCAGTACCAGATCGCAATACGGAGCTCGTTGCGGAATTCACGATTAAATGGGCAAGTACCGGAAGCCTCCAGCATTGTTCATGCTTTTGGTCTCTCCCCAGTGCTCGTCGCGTCGCCTAAACACCTGAGATGGTCCAAGCTGGTTTTGAGGGGTCCCAGGACACGTAAAGGAGAGCTCTTGTACGGCCCCCGAAGGCCACGACAGGTCTTCAAGAGGTCCTCGGGAGAGCCGAAGCATAGGCTGCAGGGTGCAATCTGCTTCTTGGGAAGTTCCCAGGGAACCAGAATGTCCCAAAGAGCGCCGCGCGAAGTAGGCTGCAGGGTGCAATCCGCTCCTTAGGAAGATTGCGCGGCGGTGGATCGGCGGCCCAGGCTTTGCGGCGACAACACATTTCATCGTCGATAGGAGCAGGCTGCCGCAGGTATCGTTGATTGCATTGGAATAGTATCGATCATGTCCTTTTATCTTCCCGACCCATTCCTCTCATCGCAATAATTGTTTTCCTCACCGATCGCCCGATCTTATTGTATAAGTGCGTCAAACCTTACATATCCATTGCGCGATCGATCCTTAATATGTCAGCCGGTCTCACGATGCACTGGTCCCACTGTATACATACATTGAGCTCCCAAGTTGCATGCGTCTTTCCCGGGGCAGCCCATGCGCTTGGGCGCCTGCGGCAGGGCTCCACACACTCGAGAAGACATGCCCAACTTTTTCAGTGCTACCATGGATCGGCGCAAGTATTCACGTGGCGGGCCCAGAGTCCCCGGCGCGCGAAGTGCGTTCGTCAGTTCAATGTGTATATATATACATATATACATATATGTATACACATAGACATGCATGTATCTATCTATGTTTTGTCCAACGTGCCGTTGTTTGTGGATATCTTCGTATACCGATTGGGGTGACCATCGGGGCAACCGTCGGGACAACGATCGGGACAGCCATCGAGCCAATCATCGGAAGAACCATTAGGAGACTGATCGGGATAACCATCGGAACAATCATCGGGGCACTCACCAGGACAACCATGGGGACAACCATGGGGACAAGCATCGGGTCAACCATCGGGACAACCATGGGGACAACCATGGGGACAAGCATCGGGAGAACGGTCGGGACAACCATCGGGTCAACCATCGGGACAGCCATCGGGACAACCATCGGGACACCTATCGGGAGAACGATCGGGACAGCCATCAGGGCAACCCTCGGGACAACCATCGGGGCAACCATCGGCACAACCATCGAGGCACGAGCGAGCCGACACGATGTCCCCGTCGGGGCACTTCGCATGTCATGTCGGTCTCATCCCCGTATCTCAACTGTCTGCCCGGCACTACGTCGTGATGTATGCGGGTGGCTCGACTTGTGCCTCTCCTAGCTCTCACCTGTCTTGTCTGAACTCCACCAGCACTGTATTTCGTTGGCCACTCGCAGCCGGCCCAACCAGCACTGCCGTGTATACTGCGCAACGTTGGCCTCGTTGATGCTATTTGATCTGGCATTTCTCAGCTTGCCTACCTCATTTCACCGCGTGTGTCTTTACAGGATCTCGTCGGTTATGTTCTTTCAGGGGCCACTCAGTGTAGTTGCTTGCCTGTCTCAAGCCCCATGCCGATATATGGGCGTGGCGGAATGCTGGCCAACATCAATTCTGCGGCGCTCTTAAACCATGCTGCGTGTTTGGAGCGTGCTTGCTCACTGTTGTAAATCGTTTGTAGAAAAAGCCCCAGGCATAACGTTTTTGTTCCTTATCGTTTGGGCAGGTGTGCGCATCATTTGAGAGGACGTTCCACACCATTCCTTTCTTTGGGAATCGGTTGGTAACAGACTCTTGGGCACACGCCCACGGATGTCTGCAGCAATCCCCGCACGGTTTGCCGTTTTCGGGGCCGCGATCCCGTGGAGTTCCGAGAGCATGTGGGGCTGCAGGCTCCAGGTTGCCCGCCTCCCCATTGGTGTAGCCATTTCCCCCATCCTGGTGTAGCAGGCTCCACGTCCCTAGCGGAGTGGCGGTCGCGCGATTTGCGCTCGCATCTCGCGGAGCCGCACTGTTCCAGTTGGTCCAATGTGGGCGGTCTGTTTCACGGCAAAGTCTGTGGGGGAAAATTATCCCAGTGCGACCCTACCTAGGAGTTGGAGCTCTTAGGAAAGCAGCTTTAGTAGTAACAGTAAGGCTAAGCTAAAGCTAAGCTAAAGCTGAGCTAAAGCTAAGCGAAAGCTAAGCGAAAGCTAAGCGAAAGCTAAGCTAAAGTTAAGCTAAAGCTAAGCTAAATCTAAACTAAAGCTAAGCTAAACCTAAGCTAAGCTAAAGCTAAGCTAACGCTAAGCTAACGCTAAGCCAAAGCTAAGCTGAAGCTTAAGCTAAATCTTGAGGTATCGCTAAGCTAAAGCTAAGCTAAAGCTAAGCTAAAGCTAAGCTAAAGCTAAGCTAAAGCTAAGCTAAAGCTAAGCTAAAGCTAAGCTAAAGCTAAGCTCAAGCCTAAGCTCAAGCTAAAGCTAAGCTAAAGCTAAGCTAAAGCTAAGCTAAAGCTAAGCTAAAGCTAAGCTAAAGCTAAGCTAAAGCTAAAGCTAAGCTAAAGCTAAAGCTCCCAGGGGACTGGGGGAACCGCGGGGCGGGGACTGGGGGAACCGCCCGGGGCGTGTAGCACTGCCCGGCCCCTTTAAGCTAGAGAGTAAGAGCCCTTCTAGGCAGAGCCTAGATAGGGAAAAACACGCACTGTGGGGGAAAAAACACAAAAGCACAAAACACCCCCAAATCACACACTGTGGGGACAAAAAACACACATTGTGTTTGTTCCCCAAAGTCTGTTGCTTGGCGTTACAGATCCTGGGGCACAGCATTCTCTACGCTCCCACTGTAGGTGCTCCCATACAGCTGTTTAGCCTCGTCGTCTCCTCTATCCTTCCCCAGGTGTTTGCTGGCTCTTCCTTCTTCTTTACCCTCATGCGGTTAACAAGAGGGCGAAGCTCTGCTGCGACCATGCCTGGAACCAAATCACTTCTCCTCTTCCCCGTCACCCCTTTTGCGCTTCGTCTCGCTCTCCTGGAGGCCGCCAGGACTTCAAGAAGCTCGTGGATCAGCTGGAGCAGGACAGGGTGGCGTCAAGCATTACCCACCCAGTCCTCTGGCGGCCGTAGAGAACTATGACAGGCCGATGTTTCTGCACGCGGGTCTTTCGAGGCTCGCTTTGGACCACGAGGTCGAAGCCCATGCTAACATGCAGGTGTCGAGCTCTCCAGGGCCCCACGTGTTGGAAAGATCCAGTTGAAGTTGGCGTGAGCCTGCTTGGGGCCCCGGATCCGCGGACGAGCCTTCCCAGCTGAGCCTGCAGGACGTACGGTCGGGAATCATCGCTTAGCGTGTCGTGCCGCAGGGTATGCCCCACCAAGCCTCGGCGCGGCACGCTCGCCGCGTCCGAGTCCCCGAGCGTCAACGCCCCGAGCTCTTCACAGCTTCCCCCTCCGCCGAGCGGGCGCGGCAAAAAATCTCCGCTTGCGGGGCACAGCGCACCTCGCCGAGGCGGCCGCCGCGGCATGCTCGGAGCAGAAGTCCCCGACTGCACCCGGTGCCTCGGGGCTTGCCTTGATGGGCTTGTTTTCTACCGCCACCACCATAAGTAGGAGGTGGAGGGGGCCCTCCTCCTCCTCTTCCTCCTCCTCCTCCTCCTCCTCCTCCTCCTCCTCCTCCTCCTCCCCCTCTATTTTTCCTCCTCCTCATCCTCCACCTCCTTCCCCCCTCCAACTTATGGAGGTGGTGGTGGAAAACAAGCCCATCATGCCTGGCTCTCCCACGACAGGACTTCAAGAGGACGGTGGAGCAGCAGAAGGCCGAGCCGCCCGCGCGGGGCAAGGCCGCGCCGGCGCACAAGGCGCCAGGGGAGGGGGAGGGGGAGGGGGAGGGGGAGGAGGGGGAGGAGGAGGAGGAGGAAGAGGAGGAGGAGGAGGAGGAGGAGGAGGAGGAGGAGGAGGAGGAGGAGGAGGAGGAGGAGGAGGAGGAGGAGGAGGAGGAGGAGGAGGAGGCGGGCGGCCCTAGAGGGCCGCCAGCGGCGGCGCTGCACGGCTGCCGCCGTGGTGTGCAGCCGCTGCCGTGGCGCAGCTGCTGCCCTGCTGCCGTTACCTCCATGCAGTGGCGAAGCGTCCTGGCTCGCCTACAGTCGAGGCGGACTAGTAGGTCGACCCTGCCAAATCAAGGGTGTCCTTGTGTCTTGTGCTTCGCGACCCATGCCTTCTACATTCCTGTTGTAATGTGGCGCTCGGAAGGATCTTGTGTCCTCTCGCGTGCCCTCTCCAATCAGCCTCGACTGTATAGGCCCACCAAAGACTGTTCTACGAGCCTTTAGTGGTCTGCCCGAAAGGTTCGTAGAACATTTCTGGCTGAGACTGTCTTGTTTGAACACGTGGGGTGTGTGTTCTAAGAACATTGTTTTTGTTGTTCGAACATGCTTTGGGTTCCAAGAACATGTCGTGGTAGGCACATCGGAATGCCAGGACGGTCGGTCCCTGCTCAGTGCTCATCGAGAGTAAAAGAACCCCTAACCCTAATAGCACAGTGAAGATGTGCCCTCACTTAGGCCCCCGTCTCTGCGTTAGGTATAACCGATCTGGGCGGTTTGGTTCGATACATCTGCAGTAAAGACCCCCTTATGCCTGATGTGTTTGGCCCTCCCAAATTAGGTCCCCTCCCAAAGGGCGATGGGTCCTTTTATGGCTAATCACATGCGCAGCGACAGCCCTGCTGCCGTTGCGCAGGTGCTGCCGCCCGTTCACAGCTGCTGCGGCGGCGGTGCACAATTGCTCGGAGGGGCCCGGTGTATACGCCACGTGTTTGGTCGGGCGGTAAGCCCGATGATCTACGCGAAGGACTTCGGTAGATAGACGCCCCAGCGCCCCACAGGTTGGCGAGCTGGGTGCGAGCTCCTCGGCAGCCCAGACGACTTGGTGTATCTTCCGAGCCCCTCCCAGCTGCTGCCGGCTCAGCACAGGCGGCGGTGCACCGCTGCTGGCTCCAGTCGGGCCTCTGGAGGGGCGGAGGCGGGCGCGGGGAGAAGGGCAAGTCGCTCCAGAGTGTTGACAGGGCGATCCTGGAGCGCTCCCGAAACAGCAGCGGTGCCCGAGTCTCGCCGGGCCGCCGGGGGCTCCCGATTCATCCTGACCCGATTTCGACATCTGTCTTGCCTCGGTCTTGCGTGGAGGAGGGCGGGGATCCTCCGCTGCTGCTGCTGCTGCTGCCTCCCTGCCCACCTGCCTTGTCGTTGCTGCCTCAGCCTTCGCATGGCTTGCACGTGTAGGACGGCTGGGCTTCCGGAGTTGGGAGCTTGCGGAGGGCCCGCGACAAGCGGCACACGGCGCAACGGCCACGCGCACGGTGTGGGCCGACAGCTGTGGACCCCAATGTGTGGCAGCGGTGACATCGGAGGCCCGGGGGGTGCATGCTCCCGGCCTCGCCCTCTCTCCTCCAGGTGACGCCTCACTGTCTTGGCATCGCTTGGACGTGTGCATTTTTCCTTCGGCGGGGGCCATCGAGGAGCATCCTTGATCATTCGGCGAAAAAACCTCGCACGAAACCGAAAAAAACACAGGGCATGGACGTCCGAGCGATGGCCAGCTGTGCATCCGCCTCCCTGCTCGCCTCTGGCGTCCCAGGGCCGGGCGTCTTCGGGATCAGACCGCTCTTCCCTTCAAATAACCGCCCCCCAGCAGGCCTCTCCACGAGCGCGCTGCGGCCAGGACTTCCCCCGGAATATCCGGCCGTGGGGCAGCGAGGGCGCGCACCACGGAGACCCCAGGAAGCCAGGCAAATACACCCCACGCCCTGGCCCTCATCCCTGCAGGTCTGACGGAGCCCCCTGTTCCGAGGCGGGAAGTTATACATGACCACCGCCTGGAGGGTCAGTTTTCGGAGTCTCGGCGGGCGGTGGATATGGACATGTTCGGGCCCCCGGGGGCCGAAATATGTATACATACATACATATATCTATATATCTGTGTATATATATATATATAGATCCATATCCATATCCATATCCACCGCCCACTGGGGCACCACCAGGACGTCGGTTCCCAGGCGTTGGACATGGATCAATCCCCGCCTCGCACCCGCAGGCCCGCGGAGGCCCTCCGTCCTCGATGCTCCCGCGGGTCTGCAGCGGCCCCTGTGCGCGCGCCCGGCTGCCAGCCCAGGACGAGACCTCGAGGCTGTACCGCGAGAGAGCGCAGGCGGGGCCGGCTGTGCTCTCGGGCACCTGCCGCCTTCCCCTCCCAGAGGTCGAGTAGCGAGGGGGAGGAGGATGAGGAGGAGGAGGAGGAGGAGGAGGACCAGCTCAAACGCAAGACTCATCAATCAAGGGCGTAAGAAACGCCCTGCCCTTGATTACGAGGCGCTGTGCGCTGAACCTTCTGTTGGCTGACGGGGTGAACCCTGCGTATCGCGCGTGTCGCGCGGCGTCCTGGCGGCTCTCTGGCCTCTGGGAGCTCCCAGGAGGTTCACAGACCACGCACTTGTAACCCAGGGTACATCCCTCAATCAGAGATGTTGCAATAAACCCTTCCTTCAAGTTCCCTCTTCACAGGTCCCTGCAAGGGTATATGTTCACTCAGGGGAGTGCCCCGTTGGAGGGCAAACGTCTGGAAATCTTGAACCGTACTAGAAACCATTCCTGGGATTTCAATGCTGTGAATCAACGTGCCGGTTGCGTCCTGAGGATCCTGCATCGTGCCAGAACGCCGTTCTTGGGGTTTCAACACCGCGAAACCAATTGCCAGTTGCGCCTTGACACTCCTACGTTGTGCGCAGATACCATGTCTGGGACGTCAGCCACGATGATTTTTGAACTTGCCTTAAACTCTTCAGACGAATGTGCGCGGCGCTCAGGCGAAAGCCACATTTTGGAAAGGTACATCCCTCCATCCCTGAAGCCCTTGTAAACTTTCACCACACATGCGCGCGGTGCCGAGACGAGAGCCACATTTTGAAAACGACCCGCCCTTCATCCGCGAAGCTCTAGCAAGTTTTTTGCTTAAGGACCATACATTGTGAGGGAGTCAGAGGCGAAACGCCCAGCCCGCCCTACCGGGGCGCGACAAGGATGAGGAGGAGGAGGAGGAGGACCCATGCAAGCCAAAGACTCACCAATGATGTTCGAATCCACCCTCACTCCAAGTCCTCTCTTCCTAGGCACCTGCAAGGGTTCATTTCCACTGAGGGAAGTGCCCCGTTGGAGGACCACCCTGTGAAAATCCTGGAGCTTCCCAAACACCAGTTTCAGGACGTCAACGCCACGCCGCAGAAACCATTTCTAGGATTTCAACACCGCGAATCAACTTAAATGTTGCGCCCTGGCAATCCTGAGCCGCTCCACAACACCGTCTCTCAACCATGCGAACCATTGAAGTCTTTGTACCTGTTTGAAACGAGGGCGCGCGGCGCTGCGAGAACCATTTTTTGAAAAGGCGCCGCCCTCAATCCTTAAAGCTCCTGCAAGTGTTTGAAACAAATGCTTGGAACGAATGGTTTGAACACATGTTCCAACATGAAACTCAGGCGAGAGCCACATGTTGGAAGTGGCGCGCCCTCTATCTGCGAACCGTTTGCTAGATTTCAAGTTTGAGGCTCATGCTTGGTAACGACGTCTCAGGCGAAACGCCGGGCCCGCCCTTCGGACTGGCCTCAGAGTGGGACTGGACAAGTAGGAGGAGGATTAGGAGGAGGAGGAGGAGGAGGAGGAGGAAGAGGCAGAGGAGGCGAAGGAGGAGGAGGCGGAGGGGAAGGGGAGAAGGAGGAGGCAGAGGAGGAGGAGGAGGCAGAGGGGGACGAGGAGGCTGATGAGGAGGAGGCGGAGGAGACGGAGGAGGAGAAGGACCAGGCGGATGAGGGAGCAGGAGGAGGATGAGAAGGACGACGATGAGGATGATGAGGAGGCGGAGGAGGAGGAGGAGAGGAGGGAGAAGTTGGAGGAGGAGGCGGAGGAGGAGGAGAAGGAGGAGGAGAAGGAGGAGAAGGGAGGAGGAAGTGGAGGAGTGAGGAGGAGGAGGAGGAGGAGGAGGAGGAGGAGGAGGAGGGGGAGGAGGAGTAGGATGATGATGATGAGGATGATGACGATGAGGAGGATGAGGATGCTGATGCTGCTGATGATGACGAAGATGATGCTGATGACGATGCTGATAATGACGGTTGTGGTTGTGGTGTTGTTGATGATGACAATCATGCAGATGGTGTTGATTATGATGTTGATGTTGATGATGCAATTGCTGCTGATGATGATGATGATGATACTGATGATGCTGATGCTGCTACTGCTGCTGATGTTGATGCTGATGGTGATGATGCTTATGCGGATGATGATGATGATGATGATGATGATGATGATGATGATGATGATGATTATGATGATGATGATGACGCTGCTGATGATGATGATGATGATGATGATGATGATGATGATGATGATGGTGCTGCTAATGTGGTTTACGATGCTGATACTGCGGTTGATGAAGATCACGATGATACTGCTTATTACGATAATGATCGTGATGGTTATGATGCTGATGACAACGAGTATGATGATGATGGTGATGCTGATGCATATGATGATGATGCTGATGCTGAAGCTGATGCTGCTGATGACGATGATTATGGTAGTGGTGATGATGATGGTGTTGGTGATGATGAAACTGACGATGCTGATGATGCTGATGCTGCTGATGACGATGATGCTGCCATTGATGATGCTGATGACGCTGACGATGATGATGATGCTGGTGAGGATGATGAGGATTCTGATGCTGGCGATGATGGTATGATGATGCTGATGATGCGGATGCCGATACCGATGCTGATGCTGATGCTGATGATGTTGGTGGTGATGCTGATGGTGCTGCTGATGATGCTGTTGATGCCGATGGTGATGATTATGATGATGCTGCTGCTGATGATGCTGCTGATGGTGATGATGTTGATGCGTCTGATGCTGATGGGGAGGAGGAGGAGGGGGAGGACGGGGAGGGGGAGAAGGAGGAGGAGGAGGATGAGGAAGAGTAATAATAACAACAAGAAGAAGAGAAGTATGAAGAGGAAGGGGAGGAGGAGGTGGAGGAGGAGGATGCGGAGGAGGACCAGCGCACAGCTTCGGATGATGTCTGAGATCCACCGCGCCCCAGCGCGGAGACAGAGGCCTGGGCCTCCGAGCTCTTCAGGAGGATGAAGCAGCCCCCGCAGCAGAGCTTGATGCTGCTGCCAGATCCCTGAGAGTCTGGCGGTAAAATTGGGCCAGGGGGACTGGGGGTTTGAAAACAACAGGTGAATTCTTCCCCCCTTTCGGGTGTCTTAAACTGAGAGCCTTTGAGAGACGGTCGGCGGCACCTGTACTCTGCGGCCCTTGACGTAAACACACCGAATTTAACCCCCTGCCTTGCTCCATATAAGAGCCGCAATCTTTGCAGATAATCAGGGTTGACGAATTGTCTAAATATTCGAACCATAGGAGATTGTGCCGTTTCGGGTCCTGGGCCAGCTTAGCCATAGCAGCACAAAACCCTGGGCACTTCTCATTCTGACGGGCAATCTGAGATTGGCTAGACTTCGCCGTCACTCGGCAAACGGTGCATAACCATTTACCCCTTATATATTCCCAATTGTGAGTCGCGTCCGCAACCTCTGGCGCAACCGCAGGCGGCGGAGGAGGAGGCGGGGGAGGCAGAGGGACGGCCCCAGGGTCCCAGACATGAGGAGCGGACGCGGCTCCGATGGGGGGGTTGGAACTCATGGGGGCCTCGAGGCCCTTCTTGCCTCTCTTTGGGGCCAAGGCGGGCCACTTAGGGAGGATTCGAGCCAGGTATCTTAAAAATCGGCCGAGCAGTTGGGTTTGATTCGCGTGGGATTCGACCTCGGACCTGCTGGGCTGGGCCAACTTCTGGGCCGCCTGCTTAGCCGCCTTGTCGGCAGCATCGTTCCCGATGGCATGGGTCCGTTCCTCGGGGGAAGAAAACTCGGCTTCCAGATTCTGGTGGCCTTTCACCTTGCATATACAACTGCTAGGGCGGACGCGGCACGCGCCTGCCAAGACCTTGAAGCCGCTCATCGGAGACCTGCGAGAAAAGCGAGGAGCCAGATGGAGGTCTATAGCGGCTTTATAATCCGTGTGCACATGTGTTATCGACGGCGAGGCATGACAAGCTAAAAGAATCGCAAGCTGCTCTGCAGCTCCTGAGGTCTGTCGAAACTGCTGCCCCACCTGACCCGTGAGAATGGCGAATGGCTCGTCTTCTCGCAGGGAAACTACAGAGAATCCAGCCGCATGGTAAGCTGGGTGTAGTGAATTGTCGCAACTACCGTCAGTGTAGACTTGGCCTACGAAGGCCTCGTGCAGAGACAAATCTGGGTCCCTGCACCAGAATTCTACGTCTTCGATCCCGAGGCCGGGCCTGGCTCCCACGGAAAACTCGGGGTCCCGCTGAAAACCAAAACGCACCAAGGGCTCGTCGCTGCTCGACTGCAGCGTGTCCAACTCTGTTGGACTGAAACATTCTTCACGCTCGTTCCTGGACAGCTCGCAGCCGAAAACGCGGTGCTTGATATCATCAGACTCGGCACCACAGGGGCAGACGGGGTCGACGGGATAGCCTGCATCCTTGGCTCGAGCTTTTGTCCAGCAACCTTGGGTAAGAAACGTCAAGAGACAGCCTCGCTCCTGCTTCGAAAGCGACAGATCTTTCAAGGCGGCGAGGGCAGCTGCAGGGTCTAGCCTAGCACCTGGAGCACCAAGCTTGCTCGCAGCCTTCTCTTTCAAAATATTGAACCAGTCAGCCTGCATGAGCTGCTGTACAAACGCAGGAGAGTAGCTGGTCATGGGGTATTGCAGGCCACTGCGAGAAACAAAAACGAGAGGGGAGGCCAGACTCCACCCAATTCGTTTGAGAGACAAAATCATGGCCCCGAAGGGCCCCCGAACGGCCGCCCACCTCTGAGGCGTGGAGCCCAAAAGGCTCTCCCCGCGGGCCTTGAGAGCTCTCAGCGAGGCCAGCGATTGACACGAATTGGTGGCGGCACTCCACACAAGCATATGCCACGGCATGGCAGGTCCAAGGGCGAGCTTCCAGGTGGGGTCACCCACTAGGATTAAGCTTAAAGTTCTGCTTCTAGTAGCACATTTGGGCCCTGCTAGCTTTAAATATTGTTGCTGGGCAATTGCTAGTTGCGAATTATTAAGGCCCGTCACTTC